CGTTAGGAAACAAAACTTCAAGAACACAGCCACACAGCCCGGAAGACCCACACCAGCCATATTATTATTATTATTACAACCAATAAATCTAAAACTTTTTCCTCTCTATCACAATTTCAATTTGGCGGCAAATTTTAGTTCTGGTTGGGACCACATATGGCCTTGGAGCCATGGATTATGTATGCCTGGTTTATGGGATTCAGGGGTGTCTGGATGGGATGTGAAAGAAGTTAAGATGTAACACATGTAAAACACATGTAAAAAGGGGGGCAGGGCTTCAACAGCACTGCCACACTTGCTGTCTTGTGCTTTTTGACACCACCCATGCCTCTGTGAACATCCCTGATACGGCTGCAGTCAGTCAGTCAAAAGCAGAAGGATAACCCTGCAGGACTCCATGTGCTTAAGCACCAAGGGCAACATCAACTGAACTTTCTTCTCAGTGAAATTAGTGGAGCAAGTCACCAGTAACTTTTCATATTGATTGCAAGATGGCTTACAGTATATGCAACTCATTTGTTGGGTTTATGCAATGCACCAAATCTGAGTTAAGCAAACAAAATCACTGGGTTTGCATAACATTCTATGCTGAAACAAATAAATACTTTAAAGCTTGACTTGATGACCTGATTCACACAACACGCTGAATAGGGACCCAACCCTATTTCAGCCTAAGCAAGCGTATTGTGTTAAGCCAGTGAGTTTGTAAGGCTCCAGGTCCAAGTCTTTTGTCAAGTGTACACACTGTAGAAGCTACTTGCCTTATTGTGAGAAGCGGTGAGATTTGTTTCGGTTTTTAGGGCAGCAGCCCATCCTTCAAAATGCTGAGCATTCCACTGCTCCTGGAAATCATGGCTTCTTTGCATGTACTTTTCCCCTCCAGTTTGCAAAGGTCTAGATCCCCTTGACCGTTTCTGCCTTTCCTCCGTCATCCCTCAGATTTTTTCAGAGAAAGATGGCCGGGTCCGTATAGAAGAGCGGAAAGAGCTGAGCAGTTTTGTGATAGAAAGTGCTGAGCGCTCTGATGAAGGAAATTACACTATCAAGGTGACTAATCCGTTGGGCGAGGATGTTGCCTTTCTCAACATCAAAGTTGTGGGTGAGTTAGTAGGTCAGTGGGACAGCGGGGGTCCTTCCTTCTACCCAGCATGCCTATAACGTTCTTGCTCCCTGTCTTTGGCAGATGTTCCTGATCCTCCTGAAGCTGTGCACGTCACTTCTGTGGGAGAGGACTGGGCCATTTTGGTGTGGGAACCACCCACGTATGATGGTGGTATGCCCATTACTGGTGAGTGCTTCACGTTAATGTTGGTGGCTGTTCAGACAAATGGAAACCTAAAGTTAGGGAACAGCTTGTTCCTCAGCCATGGAGCAAGGACAAGTGCATGAGATAACCCCATCCTATAGCCTGACTCTCCCTCAGTCTTAAAGGGAGATTACAGCATTGCCTAACATGGAGCTTCTCAAACTTTGTGGTGTTCTGATCCCCTAAAAAGATAAATGAATTGATGAGATGCCTCCCCTGAACAAAACGAATGATTTCATTGGGTTAATGTTGGGCAAGAAATAAATATGCCAATCAGTTTTGATATACATTCTTCTAATAATTTATTAAATATACATTAATTTATTTAAATTTACAATTATTTACATTTAATTTTTACATGTTATTATTGGGCTTCTCAAATTTTGTGGTACCAGAAATGCCTGTTGTGGACTCACTCAACCCGGAGTGAGTTTTAGCAGGTATCCTGTTCTTTTCTGCACAAGCTTGATTAGGCTTAAGAAAAGAATTGCTTGCAACTCCCGGGAGATCTCAACTCACAGTTCGAGATCCCCTGGCTTAATGCCTCTGAATGGGACGTAACATGGAAAAATACATTGCAAATTTATCTCTTCCCATGATAAAAAGGTACCACAGTTGCAAGAATTTCTTTGTTCTTCTCTGAAAGCCATTTTTCTTTTAAAGCTCTTAAATATTCTAGTTGTTCCGTTTCCTTGGGACTCAAATTAAATAGCATTGCCATCTACTGTAATCCTAGTCAATTTAACAGCTCCACTGCTCGATAAGAAGCTGGCCAGGATGGACGTGGTAGACTAACACATCCAAAAATACCATGTTGGAAAGTCCTTTTTGCACATACGTCTGCCCTGTGAGCGGGAGAAAACTCAGAGAATTTCTTGTTTTTGTGGATACTACTTGGGATTTTGTTTTTTATTTTTCAGAAATATTTCTGAGTTTACAATTTTCTAGGACCACATAATTAGTTGTAAATAACTGAATGCATTGTATATCCTTTTAACATTCTAAAAATCACTATTAAACGCTAAACTAAGAATTAATATTGAGAACTACTATAGGGTCAACACAGTATAAATCACTGGTTAGAATTTTAGGCTATAATAAATTCAACCCGTAGTAGTACAACTCTGCTCTGGTTTTGATATGGCTACCCCTTGTTGATTAGTGCTATATATACTTGATATCTATTGATTGGATAATGCTGATTATAGAAATATCTTCATTTTTTTCTTTCATTTTTTCCCCTCCTTTGCATGCCAGGGTACCTGATGGAGCGCAAGAAGAAAGGTAGCCTGCGCTGGATGAAACTGAATTTTGAAGTATTTACTGAGCTGACTTATGAGTCCACCAAGATGATTGAAGGGGTGCTCTATGAGATGCGGGTCTTTGCCGTCAACGCCATTGGAATCTCTCAGCCCAGCCAGAATACCAAACCTTTCATGCCTATCGGTGAGCACGAGGGCTGGCTTGTGATGAAGTGCTGGCGAGAGGCAGGGCGTGAGCTGATGAGGCACTGGTGTGGGTAGAAAAGGTGGAGTTGTCCTTTCCCTCACGCACCACTATTTAGCAGCCAAAGAAGCAAAAGAGCTGTAGGAGGATCACTGAGACCGGTTGAGGATTTCAGGTCAATGACATTAGATTTCTACTGGAGTTGATGATTCTGGATATGGGAGGGATGAATCCAGATCACATTTTCATGCAAACCTAAACCGTGATCATTTCCCAACAACATATACCCACATTGCATTGCTGTTATTATTTGTATTTCTCTGAATTCAGCAGTGTTGTTCAGTGATTAGGAAAGATGCAGAATTGCAAGCCCGTTAAAGGAAAACATTTACACTCATGGAAATGAAGCATCAAAGCACAGGATTTAAAAAATGCTCACAGAACGAATATGTTATGGGCATTTCTATATAAAATTGCTCGCGTTACAGCATCGATTGCAAAATATGCAGTCATTAGGGAAAATTGGTTAAAATGCGTAGGTTAAGAGACGTGCATGAATAATCATAGGTATTTCCTTTTTTGCTTTTTAAAACCATTTGCAGACTAATATACACAAAGAAAAGGATGACGCTAGGAAAAAAAGGACAAAATCAGAGAAAGAATGGACTTTAGAATGGTTTCCTAACTGTAGGAATGATAATGTGTTTGCGTGTATGTGTGTGTGTATCTATTTATATCTATACTGTTATTATTCTACTAAGTTCCCTGCCCATTCAATTCTGCTTCAGCCCCCACCAGCGAGCCCCTTCATCTCACCTTGGAGGACGTCACAGACACAACAGCCACCCTGAAATGGCGTGCGCCAAACCGAATTGGTGCAGGGGGCATTGACGGCTACCTCATTGAGTACTGCAAGGAAGGAAGTGAGTTTTTCTACCAGCAAATGAAGATCTAAGATTGCAGGGTCTGCACGGCCCTTCTACCGCTCTCTTATTTAAGCAATTATTGAAGGAGTTCCTCAGAGTGATGGAGGCCAGATTGACCGCTCCATTTGCTTCCTTTGTTGTTCTTCCTTTGGGAGGCATTGCCTTTCATATCTGGCAAGGCCGTCTGTAATGGTATGTGGGAATGACCTTGGGAGACAGGAAGAAGAGACGCAACCAAGGGAATGGTCAGATAAAAGGCAACTTAGCCCGCAGCAGGAATGTGGGCGGGGCAAGCAGCTCAGAAGGGACCCTCCCTAGTTTCTTGGGCTGTAAAGGGGACAGGGGAGAATTGCACTCTCAGACTTGCAAGATTCTGTTAATGTAACTACAATAAAGTAGAATTAGCTCACCTGGCCATGCTTCCTGCCTGGTCTACCTTGCAAGGCTGACTTAGTCTGACCTGGTCGAACCTTCACCAGCCCTGTATCAGCATTCACGAGTACCGTTTGGAAATCAAGGGCCAGACCAAATTTGAGCAGAACGTACAGTGTTTCTCATCTTTTATTTGCCGCCACCTGAATATCCATGACGTCTTGCTTAGAAATTCCCCAGGGGATCCTCCTCCCATTCACACCTTTGGCTGAGACATTCAGGTACTTCAGAAAAAATGGCCTCTGACTTCCTGCTTGCTCTTTATCCCCTAATCTTGTACTCCACCCTCTTTCCCAGCTGATGAATGGATACCTGCTAACACAGAGCTGGTGGAACGCTGTGGCTTCACTGCCAAAGGACTTCCGACAGGCGAGAAGCTTTTATTTCGGGTCATTGCAATCAATATTGCAGGCCGGAGTCAACCAGCCACTTTAGCACAGCCTGTCACCATTCGTGAGATTGTTGGTGAGTCGGTTTGGGTGTTTGGAGACGTTAATTGTGAACACACAGTAGCTTGATCTTGTCCCCTGGATCAATTGAATTATAAGAAGAGATTTTAAGCTGCAATAGGAGAATGAAGGGTGGAGTGGGGTGGCCCAGTACACATCAGGTTCCTGAAAACGTTTGCCCCACTGTGATCCTAAATCAGACTGGGAGCCTTGCCCATGATTTCATTTTTCCCTAAAAATTGCAGTTAAAAGGTCCATTCCTATCTTGATTGAAAGCCAGTCTTCCTATTTTTTTAAAAGGCTTCATGCAATTATTAATTGCATGCATGTTTTTTCTAATTAGTTTAGCCTCAGATTGATTTTTTAAAATTATTAATAGTTTTTGAGTGGCACAAGTCATCTTAACTGCTTCCATTTTGGAATGGCCAATTGGGGCACAGATTTTCTCATTCTGTTCTTCCGATTACAGCAAAAAAAGCAGTCCCAACAATTCCTTAGCTCCTTTCCTGCCCCATCCCCACACACTTGATATCAAGCCATTATCTACAAGAATATTTCCTGGCTAGTGCTCTCTTAGAAACATTAGGTACATCTCGTATCTCCCTTAGGCAGCCCAGCCAAATTGGGAAGAATGTTGGATATGATGCTTATCGAGAATATTTACTTACTTAACCAAATGAGTGGAATTCTGGGTTGCCAGACTATTTCTGGCTGTGAGCTAGTAATCTATATAGTTTGGGTATGAAACCACATATCCCCAAGGTCCCATTTTCCCCATCTTCCCATCCAGTGCCTTCCAGCATGTTTTTTGAACTTCCTCCACCCACATCTTTTCTTTGCCTTCATACAGAACAACCCAAGATCCGTCTCCCTCGCCAACTCCGACAGACATTCATCAAGAAAGTTGGGGAGCAAATCAACCTGGTGATCCCATTCCAGGTAAGCAAGTGACTAAAAAGGAGAAAAACTCAGAGTATTCAAATTCACAGTGTCGCAGGCTTTTTGTGAGGTCTCTGATGTGAAACATGGAGCAAAGCATTCTTGAGAATATTTTTTTTTCTCTTCTGTTAAGACAAATAGCATCTACTTCTGGATTCAGTAACACTGCTCAGCAAGTGTTATCAAGGTTACTACTTAGAAAGCCAAGCCTGGCCTCTCCTGCTGATAGCCAGCAGGGAAGGAATGGAGTCATGACTTGAGATTTAAAATGCATTGTTAAAATGAGTTTTTTTCCTCAACTGCAGCTTCATTATGCAGCTTCTATGACTAAAGGCATATTATGCAGTCTATAATGTTGGTGTAGTAAATACCCACACTGCTTTATTGCTAAAGGCTCTAACTACTTCTATTTAGAGTTAAGAAAAGGCTAAATGTCTTGGCCTTCATGCTTCCTCTCTCAGATTGGCCACAATATATACAGTATTGGCTGGTAGAACATGGTCTCCTCCCTGTCCCTTGCCTTCCTTCAGCATACTTCAGGTTCAGCAGCGTCCAGGGTGTGTGTGTGTGTGTGTGTGTGTGTGTCAATCTGCAAGATGGTGGGCATGACATCACAGTGCAATTCCTGCTCCTTTTATATGTTCCTGCCATAGCCCCTGCCCAGGGCAACATCATTGCCCCCAAGGTGAGATTGGCCCCAACCCTTCTGGCCTTCTGGAAGACCCTTAAAACATGGTTTTGTCAATTAGTTTGGGGATCCTGTGGTAGAGTGGAGCCTGTTTGATGGTTGCATGACTGTTCATGGCATGCATTCTCTGTATGCTTTCCCACCATTTAGCTTTTTTCTTTGTTTTGATCTTGTTATTTTAATTTAGATTGGTTGTTTTAATGGTGTTTTATATACTCTTGATTATTACTACATATGCGGCCCAGAGTCACTATGTGAGATGGGCGGCTCTATAAATGTGATTAAATAAATAAAATAAATAAATAAATACGTATGTTGGTATTGTATTAAAGGATCTGGTCTTGTATGGGAGCCTTGTGCCCACAATCGTGCAGGTCTTGACCATTCCTGCAGATGCCGCTGTTCAAGGCTCCTCTTGGGCCAACCAGCCTGACATACATCATGACTGTTAAATCCATCTCAGGATAACACACCAACTTTGCTCTTTTCTAAAAATCAGCAAGCTTCAACAGCCCACCCTGTCTAGCTCCATCTTCAGTTGCTAGCCATTATATCTCCCCCATTAATGTTCTTTCCCTAGTTCCTTTTTTTAGACTCCATCTCTGCCAACTCAGCACTGCCCCTCCCTTTTCCTATGGGGAAATATTCCTAAACTACCTCCTACTCTCAGCTTCTACTGATCAGCAAAGCCAAGCCAACTGTTTGGATGCCTGAGCCTCTGTGAGAGATTTGCAGAGAGGCCTTCTGTCGTCATCACTTTCTTGGAGGAAGTTGAGTATGAAATGCTGAATAACAGCAACAGTCAAAAGCCTGGGTAGAACTTCTAGAAGTATTTTCTAATTGTTAGTTCTCTTCTCCCTTCCCTTTCCCTCCCTCAAAAAGATGTCAAGTTTTCATCAGCCCCTCCCTTTAATAATATCTGTGGGTGTGGCAGGGGAATTTGCTAACTTTTGAGACACCTTTAAAGAGCTCTCAACCATTAGCTCCCCTTTAGAAAATATCAGGCAGCCTCTCTGGTCCATTAATACACAATCTCCACAATGATTAAATATTATCTAGTTACTGCAGTGTGGAACATACAGCCTTCATCCTAATTAATGTGGCTCTAACAGTCCTCTAATCTTCAGGTTGCACCTTTGGAATTTGGGAGTGTACCTGTGAAAAAATAGGGAATAAATAATGTAGCAAAGGAGAAAGAACTATGCCAAGTTGCAATGCAAACCTCATCCAGTTTGGGCACTGGCTCCACCCTAGCAAGCTCTCATTTACCTTTTCTGCGGGGCAGTGACATTACTTTGGAAAGTGAAAGGGGCACCACTAAGCAGAAGGTCCCAGTGCTAATGCTAAGCATTTTTTCAACTCCAGGGTAAGCCTCGTCCTAAGGTCACCTGGTCAAAGGATGGGCAACCTCTTGATGCCAAGGAGATCAACATCCGCATTTCTGATTTTGACACCATCCTCTTCATCCGCAAAGCTGAGCGATATCATTCAGGCCTCTATAAACTCTCAGTTCAGATTGAAGGCATGGAGGACAGTGCTGACATCAAGATCCGGGTTGTAGGTAAGGACCACCCTGCTTTTCATAGACATGACAGCAAACTAACAGGAAGGAAGGAAGGAAGGAAGGAAGGAAGGAAGGAAG